CCGGAACACTGAAGTCTAGGGCGTCCCAGGGACATGAGTAACTGTCTTGGTTCCCGCAACGAAGTGAAACAGAAGATATTATAAGAGGAGAAGAAAAAAACGATAGTTTCCACTTCCCTCGGTGAATCACTGTAGGAGACAGAATGAATTAAGCGTAAAGGCACAAAAAAAGACTGTACAACTGGGTGAAGCCCAGTCGCCAAGCACCACGGAAATTTAACTAAAAAAAAAGTGGGTCCTATGTGTGAGCTGAATTGAGCTGATATACTTGCTTCCAATAATAGGTATCGCCTAAATTTTTAATTATACCTACTTACCATAATTATATTTTCGACTTAAAAGACTGTGCCAAAATTAATGCCATTTAACAATAGGTTTAACATGGCATACGACATCTATCTTCCTAATGTCCATTGAGGGGCTAGGCAGGAATGTTAATGTGCCCCAACTGAGCACAAACTCGAATTATGTCTTTTAAAGCAGTCTGTTGTTTATTTCATTAATTCGTGTTGTTTAACACTTAGTTCTTGATTAATTGAGCATTTAATTTATTAAGGGTTAATGTCGGGGAGTTATCATTATGATTGTCCATTTTATAATTGCTTGCGAGTGAGTAATACGTTTGTCATAGAACCAGCCTTACTCTTTCTGTGGGTTTCGTAAAAGCTGGGTAACTATAGACTAAAAATTTAATAGAAAACTTTGATGTGTAATCTCCAACTTGTTTGACAACAGCGGAGATTGTATCAAATAGTCTTATGTATGAAGTGAAGTGCTGAAGTTAGATTACAATAAAAAAAAAAATAAAAAAAAGTTTTGACTCATTAAAAATACAGCACCTATTACACTGCACTATATATTTCTTAAAAAAGTAGAATATCAGCTTTATTGTAAAGCTAGTAATAAAATGAAATGGAAACAAAAAAAAAAAAGAATAAAACATAAAGCAAATGGCTGCCCGTTCCTTTTTCAAAAGTGACCAGCAATTTCCTCGCGCCATTTCTCGCTATACAAAATGTCCGAAGCATTTTCAAACTGGTGTTTAATTAAAAACGCGAATAAAAATTTAGCTGGCTTTTTATTACCCTGATGTATGGCCGTTTAAACTGTAACACCAAAATAAACTTTATTTTGTAAGCGTTAAAACGCATTTTTCACTGAATAGCTAACTGTATTCTTTTTCAGAAGTCCAGTGTTTTACGATTTCCTGTTCTATTTTAAGAGTAATAAAATACAATTTTGATTGCCGAGTTATTGTTTCGATTTGAAAGTGATTTTGCGTTTGATTCCTGGATGTTCGTTTGTAATCTTCACGCTCTATTTTAATGTGGTGTAAGTAGAATTCTAAGTTGCAAGAAATTCACAAGTAACCTATGGAGGTCCTTGCTCGTTCTTCTTCATAAGAATCTACAGTACACCTTGGAATGAGCAAATAGCTTCACTTTAAATGTTTTGTTGACGTTTCAAAGTACCTACTTAGTGCATTTGAAATTAACGGTTTTGACTTAGACAAGATTTAATTAAATTTAAACGATTCAATGAAAAACTGATTGGAAATGTGTTGTCTATGGAGTTTCTTGCTCGTTCTTCTCCATAGGACACCTTCATCGAGCTTCAGTATTAACTATTTCGGTTCAATTATGCCATTGTACTAAAATGTAACACCCACTTTTCATTATTTATGTTATGAGTCCCATGTAATAGGGGGTGAGCCTATTGCCATATTATTATACCGGCCACAATTCTAGACTCCGTGCTACTACTGATATTTTTTTTAAAACCCAGTAATACTTTAACCGACCCGGGAATCGAACCCGAGACCCTTTGCCAGGCAGTTGCACTTGCGACCACTCGGCCAACGGCAGTAAATTATGTCTATTTGTTTGTAACACAATTCTCCCTAAACTACTAAACCGATTGTAATGCCATTTCACCACTATATAGCTTCTTGAAAACTGTAAAAAACATAATCTTGTAATCTCATATTGGACAAAACCGTGAGTGAAAATTAGTTTTCATATCACATGTTTGGTTTAATATATTTTTATGATTATTATTATTACTTTAATTTATTATTTCTTTGATCAACTGGTGTGTGTTGCCAACACAAAATATTTATATTAGGTACGTTAACATAAATTTATTTATTTTAGTTCAAAAGGAATCAGTTGGTGTGTAGACGTAAATAATAATTATTATCAATTTATTCCGCCATGTTAATCTTTATGAGAATGAGAATACCTACATGTAATAATTACGTAATTTTGTAAAAATAATGAGATTTTACATAGATTTTTGGAATTAGTTTTTCCTAATCATCTATATTTTTTAAATTAAATTCATAGATTTTCTGATTAATATAATTGTAATCTAAATTGAAACATAACTAATACGACTTATCGCAATTTATTTTGATACTACTAAATAGTTTAATAACCAAAATAAACTAGAAATCATAATAAAAATACACCCTGTAAAGAAACCGTAACCAATAACCACAGACAAAATTAAAACCCCGCGAAACCCTTTAAACCACTAGCCACAAACCAACAACCCATCAACACACCATTCCAACAAAACGAATAATAAAATCGGCTACAATCGGCTACATCTAAACGGCTATAAATCCACCACACTTAACACTATCGCAGAAACAGTAGCCATAACTTCTCCTTTCCAGCACTTTATTTTTTAAGTAAAGGAATTCAGTGTATGTATACTGTACAGCCTACTTTAGTTCCCACAACGGCGCTAGTGGGCAAAATGGCGGGTGATTTAAAAATGTTGCGTTGTATTGTCTGTAGCAGGAAGAGTATAAATTCTTTTAGACTGTTGTGTTTCGGATATCTATTTGTGCTATCTTTTTGCTAATTAATTGTGTTTTGTGTGTTAGAAGATGTTTAATTATTGGTGTTTAGTGTTGTTTCTGTGTCTCTTTATAACATACTACTTATTAGTGATTAGCTTTTATGTTCAGCAATAGACAGAAACTGGCCAATGATAGAAATGATCAGGTATAATGATCATTAGCTTGGAATTTCAATACTTAGTTTTGGTGAATTAGATTTCATTTCCTAGAATAGAATCTAGATTTCATTTAAGATTTGGAGCTATGAAAAACAAAATGTTTTGATTTGCGAGAATAAAAGAGTTATCTAGATACTAACTAAGCGTGTGTGTTCATATTAATTCACAAACACTTTTGTTTTTAAAGTAATTATTGTGTCTCTAAAAACTTAGATATTTCTGTACAGTGGCAAATATAAGCCGTAATTTCTATAATAAATCATAGTGTAGCATGTCAGCACGCGAGTTACAGTTGAAAATATTCACACATAAAATATTTTGACACTATTATCCGCCATATTGAATTTCGCACTTCATTATTTTATTTTTTATAGGTATTAAGCCTTTTTGGTATTATAAAACAACAAGCTTCAGTCCATGTCTTCGTACGCGCAATCCCGTTTTCTCCCGTTCCCGTAGGATTTTTAGGATTTTTTCTGTCTTAAGAACCTTCTCCTAATAATAAAAAATACAATAAAAAAAGAATTAGTGAAATCGGTCCTGCCAAACACGCGTGATGCCGTGACCTAGGGAATTCATTTTTATATGTATTGATAAGAAATGTATGCTGGCTGAAACTTAACATTATAAAAACTAAAATCAATAATGTTATACATTATAATACTGACACCACGAAGTGATACCACGGCCTCACAGAAAACCGACGCGAAACAACGCTTGCGTTGTGTTTCGTCATGTGAGTGAGGTTACCGGAGGCCCAATTACCCTCGTCCTCGTCTCCTGAATCCCCGAATCCTCCACAATCCTCAAATTCCTTATTCCCAAAAGGTCGGTAACGCACTTGTAACGTTCGTTTATCGGCTTATGCTATAAAAAATCATCATAACGATTCCATTATTATAGTTTCATTATTATATTTAACAACAATAAATTCATACAAAAATATAACTACAAAATAGAAAATGTCCACCCGTCAGTATTACAGCTACCACTTCAATGAAACTCTATAATTTGGGTTCATTAAACCATTTAATAAAACCAAAAGGGTTCTAAACCACGCCTACTTTTATTCTGTTTATGATTCCGAAACAGTTTTCATTGGTGGATGTTATTATTGATGTAATTAGATAGTTCGATGTTCGGTTGAGTTAAATTATTTAATACAATGAGTGCTTTATTGAATTAGATAGGGGCTCGAGTAATTTGTTTTAGTTTTTTAGGAAAGGTATGGGTTAAGAATTAGGATGATGACAGGGTATGAAAATTAAAAATCTAATTAGCCCGTAAGTTAGGTTATTGAAAATATTAGACTCGTATTTTTTTTTTTGTCGTATAATAAAACAATACTTAGATAAAACGAATCAAAGTTTAGGAGTGGGGGCTAAAACGTCATCTCTACGTATGAAGTGTACATAGAAGTGACGTCACGCGACATTTCAAATCATTATATCGTCGAAAGTATTCGTTTCTGTAATAAAAAAAAAAATACGTGTGTAATGATTTAAAATAATCTACCAGACGGACATTAAAATAAAAACTAGGTTTCTACCCTTTTTGGATGACTCATATATAATATTTTTAAGGATGAAAGGGTAAAGGAAATGAAGTATATATTATTTAAATTCATCTGTAACTTATAAGAAAGTGAATGCCACATCTGCATACTTCTTCAAGCAATATATTACATGATAATCTGTGTCGTAATTGCATGTCAGACTAAAAAAAAACTGCATTAAAATCGGTGCATCTGTTCGAAGGCCACACCACAATGCTATCGACAGACACAAACAGTCATTGGTGTCACCACAGGTCACAGTTAAATCATTTCTCCCTCATTTTTACTTTTTTTTTTGATAGGACCGGACCACTCGTAGTTCAGCACGCTAAGGCTGTTGATTAATTGACAAAATCTTCTCCCTCTTCGTGTTCTTCACATATACCGTAAATTAATATTCTCCTCTCTTTGTTCTCAGGTCCAAGAAGTAGAAGGATGAAGAAGAAAGCTATGCCCGAAGAGAAGAGACCAAGAACTGCTTTCAGCGCTGCTCAACTTGCTAGATTAAAGGTATAGATATGAATATTGTATTAAAGACCTTTCTACTAAATGTAGGGTACATTTTTTATCTGTAAAATTAGAAGGCATATTATTAGTAGCTTGACTAATCTAATAAAATAAAAAGTTGTTTATGAATCTAATGGCGTATCATAAATCTATAGTGCAAACCACGTGGTTCATTAAAATAAGCCATTGACGTCAAAGGATTGTCTTAATGAACAGCTTCCAACGTCAGTATAGTACCATTAGTAAACTAAACCAGTAAACTTGTTAAATAGTAAGCTAACAAGTATTTTTTCTTCGTAGCACGAGTTCGCAGAAAACCGCTACCTAACAGAGAGAAGACGACAGAGCTTGGCAGCAGAGCTCGGCCTAGCGGAGGCACAGATCAAGATCTGGTTCCAGAATAAACGAGCTAAGATCAAGAAGGCGTCTGGCCAGAGGAACCCACTGGCTCTTCAGCTCATGGCACAAGGCTTGTATAACCACAGCACTGTCACCGAAAGCGATGAAGAAGAAGAGATTAATGTCACGTAATTTGAGATTGTAAATCTGAAGTGGCATGACCATCATTGATTAACTACGTTTTGAAGAATCATAGAAAGAATTTTAGTTGATTTAATGAAAAGTGGCAGTGCCACTTTTAATTAAAAAGAATATATCGTCCAATAATATAATGATTGGAGGAATTTAAAAAGGTGGTAATAGCCACTACTGGTCAACAATAAATACGTCATTAAATTGTGTGGAGAATTCTAGTTGATATATTTATTAAAGCATAGAGAACCTAATGCTTAATTTTCCGCCCAATAAAGTAGGAGAAAATTAATCAAAAGTGGTAATGACCGTCTTTGATTAATTTATAAGTGGGCTGCCTTTTTGTAACGCCATTTTGAGACTACATCACCTAATATTATTATGATATTATAGACCTATTTCACAGTGTCTTATAAAGGTATAAAATACGCTTAAATTGACGGCGTATTTTTTCCTATACAATCTATGTGTCGATTAAGTTACAGCAGCTTATTCAGATATTATGAAACAGGCTTTTAATACAAAACGGTACTTTAAAAATATTAAAGTAAATGTTCCTGGTAGATTATGTAAAATAAATAAATAGAATATTAGAATAACTATTTATTACTAATAACTAATCAGTATTTGTAAGACAATTTAACGTTTGATGTTATAATTGGGTACTTTCCTAAATAAAAAAAAATATTTCGACTGCTCAATACAATGAAATATTAAAAAATAACCACACTTTCATTATTTGATTTTATGACCAACTCAATTTTAGTATTTATCCAGCAAATTTTTGAGAAATAACTACGCTGTTTGACGCAAAAAAAACGTGACGTCACAATACACAATCTCGTACAAAATTCATAGAAAACTGTCGTTTTTGACAGTTCGAAAAAAGTATTGAATTTTATTAGTTGGCAAGTACCCAATTAATACCTAATTAGAATTATAGGCGTCGCCTCTGTTAAAAGTATAAAAAAATAAAGTAATTCACTTTACAATCATGGCATAATTTAATCTTAAACAGTAAGAAAAATTAATCAAAAGTGGCTAAAGAATATCTCTGACTTTTGGTATCGATTATAAAAATATATTTAAAAAAGAACTGATATAAAGATGCGATATAATAACCAAATAGATAATAAGTTGTATAATATACGTTATGGTTATGTACTAATGTATTATGTTTGTATAAATATAATTATTGTTATAGATAAGTAATTTATTCGCTAAGGTAATTAGACAAGACGATAAAATCTAATCAAGTGGTGCCTAGCAGTAGTAACTGGGTTCAGGGGCCTTAGGATATATACTTAGGGGACCTCTTGCACTGCTCAACGATCGACCATTCTGAGACAATCGTAATAGCAGACTAAGGCCTCAGAGTTCCCGAGTACACCATGGGGTGATTCGATTATTAAAATTTCAAAATTAAGTTCACTTCTGCCGACCCCGTAAAGATTTTGTCATCTTGTCTAATTATGCTAGTGTTTTAGTGTTACTTAATAAATCGGCGACGCATTGTAAATGTGTAATAAAAACAGTTAAACATCATTTTATAGCATTGAGAAACAATAGTTTGTACGGTTAAAAGTTCCGACTCGAAGTGCAGGAGTAGGAACGGGGTGGTGTTTAGTCAGTAAGAGTCTGACATTCCCTCTCGACTTACCAAAGGCGGGAGAATTTATTGGATGATTCCTCCACCCGTCAAAAAAAGCATCAAAGTAAAAAACAAAATAAGATGAAGAAAACATCTTTGGTTAAAAAAAAATTCTACCATTTTTTTTAATTAATTTACCCTGGTACAGTTAGTATTAAAAGTAGATGGACATATTTACATTTTCAAAATCGCCTGTATACAGTATTATACCTATATCGATGCACATGACAAGCACCCTAAATGCAACACAAGATAATTTATTTATTTCTGCGCTTGGCATGTTGACTAATTTAGGTACTTCGCTGTACATCGATTTTGACAATATAAATGCGTTCATCAACTTTTGATGCTTACTGTACCAAGGTAAATTATTAATGAAAGATGGAATTATTAATGAAAGATGGTCGAAAATTTTGTTGACCATAAATATTTTTTTTCTCTATCTTCTTTTCTTTTTTTTTTATACAACGCAATAAATACAAAACAAATCTGTTTCAATTGCTAAAAAATTATGTGATTTTTTTTCATTTTCTCATAATAATTCATTAATTATTAATCAATTTTGTCGTCATTTTTGTTTTGTAAAATAATAATGTACAGTTTTAATTTTAAGCTAAGTTAATTAAAAATATTTATGCGTGTCTTGTAAATAAATAAATTAATTAATGATAATTTTACATAAAGTAAAATATTCTGTCTGTCCATTAGTCATTTCTTTTCTTCCATTTTTGTTCTGTTTAATTTTTATTAAAAAAACTATTAATGTAAATATTTATTAGAAATATTATTATTATTATCCGGGTAGTTATTGTGACTGTGCTAGTAATTTAATTGTATAGAAAATAATAAATTATATTACATTTACAACATTAATTTTTTTGTTTTATTATAATTGGAATATTTTTTATGGGCTACCCTAGCTGTGTGGTTGACCAGTGGTTCCCAATCTTTTGTAACCCACAGAGCCCTGTCCTAGCTAACCATTTGAGGAAAACAGTCAAAAGAAATAGGTACCTACAAATAATAGTAGTTAGGTTAGGTTGATCGTGACGAAAATTAAAACACCACCATATGAAATTTATTTTTCATCATCAACTGTAACAGCCTATAAATGCCAACTGCCGAGCAAAGCCTCTTCTCACACGGAGAAGGTTTGAGCATTAATCACCACGCTTGCTCAATGCGGGTTGGCGATTACAAACTTATAATTAGAAATTATGAGCCCAGGTTTCCTCACGATGTTTTCCTTCACCGTTTGTCAGTGGTGTCTGAATAATCTTAGAAAGTACACATAACTCGGAAAAAGTCACATTGCCATTGGTAGGTTTAGGACCCGCACTCTCATGCATGAGAAGCGGGCGTCTTAAACTGATTTTTATATTATAAAATAATAAACGGAAAACAGCAAGAAAGACCTAAGAAAAAGCAAAAATTATATACGATATTTATTCCGTCACATTAAAGTGAAGTGTCAGCTTGGTGATTTTTGCACAATTATTTAAAGCGGGCAATACCATTTTATTTTAAGAGGGGAAAATCATCGAATGACTGCTCCTGCCTTAGTGTCAGACTGTTACTGACTAAAAACCACCCCGTTCCTTCTCCTGCACGTCGAGCCGGAGCCCCAGTTACCCGTAAGGTTCTCCCACTTGACACTGTTACTCTCATTGTTTGCTGTAATTGATCAAAAAAGTACCTAACAATATTTGTGGTGTCCAATAATTAGATAATCGACTCACGACGCCCCTCTTTACTTTCTACGGCGCGTTGGGGTTCCGGGCTCATACTTTGGGAACCCCTTTTTATGGAATAGGAGGCAAACGAGCAGACGGATCACCTGATGGTAAGCGATCAGCGCCGCCCATGGACACCCGCAATATTAGAGAAGTCACAGGTGAAAGAAACCCCATTCGTTACTCTTTTTAAAAAAGTATGTTCTACAATGTCTCTGATACATATTCCAATACTGTACGCATATGTAAGAACAATGCAAAGACACGCTTGACGCATTATAGGTAGGTACTAATTACAAACCTTACTAAATTAAAAAAAAATATAGTCTAACATGGTACTCACATAATAATATGCATACTGACAATCCATAGAAATAGTGCTTCTATAGATACAAGAAAAAGGAAACTCTTTGTTTCAATAAAGAAAGAAATGCTCGATGCTATAAGGAAAGAAATTGGATTGTTCAGAACCTATGCTCACGAAACTGTGGATAGGGAAATATTCTAAAAACAAGATCTTCTGTGAACAATGTCGTATTCAAGAACAAACTATCTAGTTACCGAGAAACAAGATGATTTAAACACAAACCAAAGATATTGCAATAAAACACATAAATCAAAATATATGAAAATTACAGCGAAGCGAAAATGATTTAAATGTACCGTACCGGGAATCGAACTGCGGATGTCTCGCTAATTGTTAACTACTGAACCTTGGTGTTCTTTGATGTCGTTCATTTTGATGTTAACTATAGTGTTGTGTGTGATGTAAGGTATTTATTTTAGTGATGTGCTAGTCTTGGTCTCCGGTTTCGGCCCCTCGGCTTTTGGTAAAGTTTTGGTTTCTGTACCGACAATTGTAACTTAGGATGAAAGCAAGCTAAAGTGACAATGAAATTAGGTATACAATTAGTAAAGTTATAGAGAGCTGATGAACATTAGCGGTGTGAACTGGAATGGTGACCAAATTTAGACAAACGTAGTGTAGTGCGCCCTCCAGTTTAGGTCGAGTGACGATATCCGCATGAAGGCTGGCAGTATTTGAATTATGAGATGTACTTTTTTCTGAACTCGCCTTTGATAAACTATGTAGTAGAGGTACATACAATCGCCAACCCGACTGCTAAGAGGAGAGATTATAAGAAACTTTAATCAATGCAGAGGAATTCCAAAGCTTAGCAGTGGCCCGTTCAAGGAACATTGAAGATAACCCTAAGCGAAACACTCTCAAAATCAAAAACATTACCCAAAACATAATAGTACACCTTTTATCCCCGAAGGGGAGAGGTGCATTACGACACTTAATGCAACACAGCACAATATAACACCCACTTTTCACTATTTATGTTACGAGTCCCATGTAATAGGGGGTGAGCCTATTGCCATATATCGAATTCCAGACACCGTGCTACTACTGAGACTTTTTGAAAAAACCCAGTAATGCTTTGTGCGACCCGGGAATCGAACCCGAGACCCCTTGCCCGGTCGCACTTGTAATCTCTCGGCCAACGAGGCAGTAAAATTATCCAAAACATGCCTCACTAAATTAGGCCGAAAAGCCGAAACCAAACCCAACAAACGTAATATACCAAATGATCATAATTCAACAGCTATGACGGCCGAAATTAGGCACCAATTAGGCCGGTATTTGGCCATACATCATGTCTATTTAGCGTCTCCGCAAATGTGCCGTCAAATTCTTAGTTTATATTTAGACAAGTTCTTAGTTTTGCTTTCTTAACTAATTAGAAGGTTTTGCCTTGTTAAAATTAGTTGCTTGGGTGTTCAATGCGAGTGTTGAAATGTTGGGTTCGAGTGTTGAATTGAGTAAAATGTTTACCATATACATAATTATAATCTCCACTAAGATTATTTAGACACCACTGATAAAGTGAACCAAAATATCGTGAGGAAACCTGGACTTATAATTTCTAATTATAAGTTCGTAATCGCCAACTCGCATTGAACATTCTCTTTTTTTAGAGATAAGCCGGTAAACGGGCAGACGCATCACCTGATGGTAAGCAATCGGCGTCGCCCATGGACTTCTGGAACACCAGAGGCGTTACAAGTGCGTTACCGACTTTTTGCGGATTACAAATTTTAGGATTGTTGGGGCTTCATTAGGGATATTGGGATAGGGCCTAGGGGGGATAATTGGACCTCTGGTAATCTCACTCACACGACGAAACACAACGCAAGCGTTGCTTCACGTCTGTTTTCTGTGAGGCCGTGGTATCTCTCCGGTCGAGCCGGCTCATTCGTGCCGAAGCATGGCTGTCCCACACATGAAAATTCACTTTATTTTGAATATGTAGAAGTACCTCTACATTT